TTGTTTGGATAAAAAAAATTAATAAGTAAACTTACTAAACTAATGCCTTCAATAAGATAACCATCGTAAAATGGAAAAAGGCATACAGACTTTGGAAACGTGTGATATAGAATGCTTACGACAGTATCATTTTTGAAAAGCAGAAGACCAGTGACAATGAAGACAAGGCAGTGGCATTTGGAGGCTGAAAGCAATTCGATTTATTTAACTTTGCAGAACAAAAGCTTATTCTTCTAAGAAGAAATCAAAACACATTTTCTGTGGAAAAAAGAAACCATTTTAACTGCATTGCCAAAATAAATCAGGCAGAGGGCAAGTTAGATCTAGCTGCAAAAAAGAACTGAGGCCAAAGAAGCAGCGGGAAAAGGATAAAGGGTAGGAGATACCACACAATAGATTTTGAATTTTAAAGAGAGGAGGAAAGACGGGGAGAGAGAAACCAGACCCCAGTCTTGATAATATTCTATCTAGAATACTAAATCTAGCTTCTGGCAATAACCACCTAATTAAACACACACACACACACCCCTAACCAGTGAGTGAATATGCATTTGTATTTGAATATCTGAATTTATTCCACAGTAAAACAAGGCATTCAGGTAAAAGGCTTGACTAAAAATCTAAATTTGTACATCACCTTTCAGGAAACAGTACAACTCTAAAGTCTTATATATTAGACTCTGTATAAGAAAGACACATAATACTTCTGTCTGGCTTTATTAGCTACATTCTAAGGCAAATCTTCTGGACTAGAGAAAAATTTCAGAGAAATTTAGCTGGAAAACCAAATTACATTAAATACCCAAACATAACTCTGTTTAGAATGAGAAACATGTGAAAACTTGCTAGAAAAATTTTAATGAATACATAAATTTTAAAAATCAAGGAATATTCCCTTCCCTCGTTTTTCAGAGTCCACACTCTGTTGGGATAACCAGACATTGTCACCTAGAGCAAGTCCCAACCTGTAGTGCAATGGGTTTCTCTTATATATGGCCTTTCTGGCCTTGGCTTGGAAACCCTGGTGGCGTAGTAGTTAAGAGCTACAGCTGCTAATCAAAACGTCGGCAGTTCAAATCTACCAGGCGCTCCTTGGAAATCCTGTGGGGCAGTTCTACTCTGTCCTATAGGGTCGCTATGAGTTGGAATCAACTCGAAGGCAATGCGTTTGGGTTTTGGGTGTCTCGGCTTTATAATTCTGCTAAAAATGATTGGTTGGGCCACAGTCTGCCGTGTGATTGGCCTATTTTATGCACCTGCAGGGACTGGTCAATTTGCTATGCAAAAATAGTGGTGCGTAAAACCAACCAATAGGATTGAGTGATCTCCAGTGATTGACTGGTTTGTGGTCCTGCTGGGAGGGCCATGACTTGAAATTGATGAGCAGCTTGCTTATATAAGCAGCCAACACAAGCCCCCACCACCACAGAACTGAGAGGCAAGGAGGAGAGAACCTCCTAAAAGAGGTGTAATACAGGTCAAGAGCTGTAACACTGAAGACAGCGCAAGACGGCACAAGATGGTGCAGTGTGCTTGTTGGCCCATGAAGAGAGACAGTGAGTGAGTCAGTGGGTTTGCTGGCCCACAGACAGAGAGAGACGGAGAGAGAGCCACTGGGTGCCTCTGGGCTGGAGGCTTGCTGGCAGAGCTAAAGAGCTGTAACACTTGCCCTAGCAGGGCAGAGGCCTAGAGAGGCCTGGCAGCAGAGCCAGCACTGATGGCAGAAAGCTGCTGCTAGGATGGCAGCAGCCAAGCAGGCTGCTATACTGGCCATGAGTTGGGCCAATCAGCAGTGGAGATGCTGATGGAGGGGAGACCAAAAGCAGAGAAGGGCGGCCTGCCTACAGGCACAGCTGAGAAGGGTCATCAGTTAAGCACAGCTGAGAACAGTAGTCGGCTACCACAGCCGAGAAGGGGCTGACAGCTGCCCTGGTTGGAAGCTGTCTTGATTGATGAAGTTGATCCTGTCTCCTAAGTTGTATCCTATTACTTCCAAGATGATCCTGATCCCAAGATGTAGCCTGTTACTTCCCTAATAAGCCACATAACTGTGAGTATGGTCTGTGAGTTCTGTGTGGCCACTGCAATGAATTATTGAACCCAGCAGAGAAGTAGAGAGTGCCAGGGCAGGGGGTGGGGAGGAGAGATGGCTGGTGTCAGAAATGGTGAAAAAGTTGGAGAGTGAAGGTGAGCCTGACCTCCACCTCATAGGAGGTGGGTGATCCTGATTCTTATCACTCAGGAATCTAGATGAGTTCAGACGCTAGAATTTACAACCCAACCAGGCTAATCACAGGACCTGTTTGCCCCTGGGCCCAGCTGAGTGATGAAGACTGTGACTCCCAACACCAAGCTGCTTGGGTTTGAATCTAAACACAATCACATTCTTGGTGGTAATCCTAAACTAGCTGCTTAAATTCTCTGTGCTTTATTCCTTAATCTGCAAAATACAGTATAAATATCACTTACCTATTGCCGTTGTGAGGAGTCTGTGGGTAGCACAAAGGACTAAGCACTCAACTACTAACTGAAAGACTGGCTATTTGAACCCACTCAGAAATGCCTCAGAAGAAAGGCCAGGAGAGCTACTTCTGTAAGATGACAGCCATTGAAAACCCTATGGAGCACAGTTCTACTCTGAAATATATGGGGTTGCCATGAGTTGAAATTTACTTGATGGCAATGGGTTTATTGTTGTGAGGATTAAACACGTTAATACATGAAAAGCACTTTCTAAAAAGTATCATGTACATACTAAGTACCCAATAAACGGTAGGTATTCTAATTAAACTGGAGTCTCTGGGTGGCACAAACAGTTACGTGCTCAGCTGCTAGCCAAAAGGTTGGCAGTTCAAACCTACCCAGAGGTGCCTCAGAAGACAGGCCTGGTGATCTGCTTCTGAAAGGTTACATCATTGAAAACCCTATAGAGCAGTTCTACCGTGCACGCACGGGGTTGTCATGAGTTGGAACTGACTTGACAGCAACTAACAACAACAGTAATTAAAATTACATGTATATAGTCATACATGTAGTTATATAATTATAATTAAATTACTCCATGGATCATGAGGATTCACGATACTATTCTCTATACTTTTGTGTATGTTTGAAAATTTCCATAACAAGAAATGTTTTTAAGTTTCAAAATTAATTACAGTAAGTTGGAGCTTGGAAAACACGTTCCTTTTCTAGTGCCTCACGTGTGCATGTTGCTGGCTTGGATGGCACAACACGATACAAGGCACTCTCTCGGCACTTGCCTTCCATCACTGAGTTTAACATCCTTATTTCACATTTAAGGAAACCAGGAGTAAGTACAGTTTCCAAGTGGTGAAGCTAGGATTTGAACCCACGTGTTCTGATCAGACCCAATGGTCTTTTACAAAATTCTGCTGGATGATAGATAGCATGATTTGCAGTTTTGTTGTGAAAAAAGACTAATGCTGGAAAGCTACCAGAACCCCTGTGGTTTACAGCATTCAGGGGTACAACTTTTCTAGATTACTTCCAAAATATCTTCAGCCTCTCCAAACCTGGCAGGTTAACAGAGAAGCCTCACCCAAAAAGCCACTTCTCTCCCCACTCAGCTGCACCAAACAAAAGGGAATTCATGCATCACGATCAATAGCATCAACGGAGCATTCCCTACATGCCAGGCCCTGGGCTTGATAGGTGATTTCACAGAATTCAGACTGCCACTCTATGAGGCAGGGAGCATCATTTCCATTTTCCAGAGAGGAAACTTGAGGCATAAAAAGCTGAAGTAACTTGCCTAGGTCTCACTGCTGGTGAGTGACACACTGGGATCTGAACCTGGCAGGCTGGCTCCAGGGCTCAGGTTCAACCTTGCTGTTTCACTGCACCTTCAATTAAATCACCGTCTAGTCCACTTCCCACACCCTACCCCTTCCCTTTGCAGATATAAACTCTTCCACCTTAATGTTCAGACTGTGGCTGTTCCAATGGATATTTTAGAGCAGGATCACTCACAAGTCCCCACACTTTCTATTTTACATATAACAAGAAACATGAAAGAAATAAATGCTACTCAAGCCAGAACAGAAAGAAAAGACTACGATGAAAGCGAGACCAGTGTCCAGTCACCATGAGGTCTTTTTTGTTTTTTTAAAGAGCTATCTTCTAAAACGAAAACTGCCAAATCAAGAAGCATTCACTTTTGCTTTTCAATTGCTTCAAAATATTTAGTGCAAAGAGTAATATTCCTACTGGGAGTACTTTAGAACTGAAGCACATCAATAGAAGGCTGGTTTCCAACTCAATTAAAGGAAACTTTCGGTATTGGTTTTTTTGCTCTAGCCTTTTTCAAGTCACAGTTTACCTAGAATTGATGACCAGATTACATTTCATTTGGCCTGCATGGTTTTTTAAAGAAAATTTAATAAGCTGCCAACATTTAAAAACTTCTGGTGATTTCACATTTAAAAATCTGGATTTAAGCCTTTTTTTGAGTAGGAAGATCTAGCCAACACTAAATGCCTTCTCCCTTGTGGGAATGCAAACCCAATGGATGGGTAAGGTGATTTCTAGTTTGCCAGGATACCCACCACTCCATATTGCCTCATATGTAATCGTCTTTCCTCATTATCATGCAGGCAAGCCTGTGGAGGCACCCAAGTTTATGGTCTCTTTATAAGAAGCTCTGGACAGAGAAGTAGTAGTGTTTAGTCCCCTACTATCCTACCTGCCTCAAGTAAGCTTCTTATTTTCCTGTCGAATGTCATTCCTATACTACCACAGACCCCAGGGAGGCTCCCAGGCAAGCCTGTGGAGGCACCCAAGTTTATGGTCTCTTTATAAGAAGCTCTGGACAGAGAAGTAGTAGTGTTTAGTCCCCTACTATCCTACCTGCTCCAAGTAAGCTTCTTATTTTCCTGTCAAATGTCATTCCTATACTACCACAGACCCCAGGGAGGCTCCCAGTACCTTCCCTTCATGTCCGCCACCCCACCCCCAATGCCGTCAAAACTACAGCTCACCTGCTACTCTGTGTCGCTGCGTTCTCTCTTCTCAGGTGTCACAGGCACCTCCCCATTGACGCTTTCGGTCCCATTAACAGACATCAAACTTCGCCGCTCCTTCTGATTTGGCTTGTGTTCCACTTTTGTAACTCTAAACCTGCAGGGAAAAGAGATTTGATGGGCTTTATTTTTCCAGGAAACAAAGAGTTATGAGTGACTCAAAAATCATCCATTTAGAGGATCCCAAACTGACTCAGACAAAAGTTTAGACAGCAATAAAAATTACCATATTCAATATGAGGGGCATTCCTATTCCTACCCAGGAAATCCCCTGTTCCCTGCCAAACTTTCCAGCCGATCTTCCCCTCAACCACAATCACAGACTCTGCTAGACACTTTATACATCATGCAAAATGCATAAAAACACACAGGTACTCAGATATTAAAAAGCCTCAGAGTTGTCATTTCTTACAATAATATGGGCTTTAACATCAGTTTGCTTAATCACAGAAACCAAGCCATTGCCACTGAGTCAATTCTGACTCATAGCGACCCTACAGGACAGAGTAGAACTGCCCCATAGGGTAGGAGCAGCTGGTGGATTCAAACTGCCGACCTTTTGGTTAGCAGCCAAGCTCTTAACCACTGCACCACCAGGGCTCCTAACCACAGAAGGCTGAACAGAAGAGAGGATTGCAAATTAAACTGATGTAATCAAATGTTTACCAGAATACCTTATGCAAAGGTAAACCTGTCAGATAGTCCTGCCTCAACCCAAATGGCCAGAACAGCCCCCTAACTAGTCATTTTATCATTATTAGTGGGTTTTATAATCATTATTAGGGTTTTTGCATGTTTATTTTTTACTTCTTTTTAAAGGTAAATTGAGTTAACTTTTTCTATTTTTATTTATTTATTTTTCATTTTTGCTGGTGTTATGGATTAAATGTGTCCCCCAAAAACATGTGTTGTAAATCATAACGCCTATTCTTAGGGTTATAATCCCATTTGGGAATGGGTTTTCTTTGGTATGTTAATGAGACAGTATTAGTATAGGGTGTGTCTTAAATCAGTCTCTTTTGAAATATAAAAGAGATCAAACAAGCAAGTGAGCAGCAGAGATGGGGGAAGAGAGATGCCAAGCCACATGAAGATCATCCATGAGAAGAAGCTCAAAAGAGACAAGGATCTTCTTCCGGAGCTGTCAGAGAAAGAAAGCCTTCCCCTAGAGCTGGCGTCCTGAATTTGGACTTCTAAACTGTGAGAAAATAAATTTCTGTTTGTTAAAGCTACCCATCTGTGGTATTTCTGTTATAGCAGTGCCAGATAACTAAGACAGGTGGCAATATACACACCCAAGCACACACTGTTTCACGATTTCTACACGTACAATTCAATGATAACGGTTACATACTTTACACTGTCAGCATCCTATCTCTACCCACATTGTCTCATCACCATTAATTCAGACTGCCTCTTAATGCTCTCAGCTGTGCTTTAAGTTAACTGTTGTCAATTTGAACTCATATTGATACTTTATAAAAGCACAATGCTCAAGGCAGACATTCTTTATTAATTGAGCCATGGAATAGTTTTTATTCAAGGTTTAAAGATTATTTCTGGGCAACAGATTCAGGGTTTCCCAAAGCCTCAATGGATCCAGTAAGTCTGACTTCCATATGAATTTGAAGCTCTGTTTCACAATTTTCTTCCTTTTGTTTAGGATCCATCTATTGGGTCCTTGATTAAAACGCTCAGTAATGGTAGCTGGGCACCATCCATTTCTTCTGGTCTCATGGCAAAGGAGATAGTAAGCATGGAAGCAGCTGGACCTGCAGTCTATTTTCTTCTCTGATTCCTGGGTCTCCTTCTTCCTCTGCTGTTCCAGGCAAATAGAAACCAAATGTTGTATCCTAGGTGGCCACTTAAAAGCTTTTAAGAGCCTGGGTGCTACTCACAGAACTAGGAGGTGGAACAGACATTCTATAACCAATGTTAGGCCAACTGACTGGACAGACTCGGGAAGCCATGACCCTAATGAGTTAATTTTTATTAAGGATTAAGAAAAAAGTTACAGAAGATATTTTGATTAAGGATTAAGGAAGAAGTTAAAGAATTTCCGTTAATTTGGCTGTTTTTCTTAGGTCTTTCATGAGAGTTTCTCTCTATTTCAGGTCTTAATTTCACTTCAAACTATCTAAAATAAATTCTCCTTCTTTGTCCAAAATGCGATCCCCCACCATGAGAAAAAGGAAGACTGAGAAAGTGAGCAAGGGAGAGCAGGGAAAAAGTTGTAAACACAAATCTATTCTGTGGAAGTGTAAGACTCTTAAGCAGCACACACTAGAAAACAGCCTATAATAATTGATAGTGTCCAATGGCCAAGAAAGATAAGTGGACATGGGGTATTTTAAAAAACCACACTGAATCTGAGTCGAAAATTTCAGATTTTTCTTTTAAGCACACAAAATACTGTCTAAACAGGTTCTCATTCCATTCTGCATTTATAAATTCCCATGACTCTGCTTCTTAATAAAATAGTATGGTCATGATGCACTGTTCTGTTATAAGGGGTAAAAAGGCTGAATTAAAAAGTAACAGCCAACATTTCCTGTGTGTTTAATAAGTGCTAAAAACTGGTCTAAGACCTTTACATGAGTCACCTCAGTTAGTCTTTACAGCAACCTTATGACGTGTTACTGTCATTTTTACAGAAGGGGGAACTGAGGCACAGAGAGAAGTAACAGCTTGTAAGCAGCGAAGCTGGGATTTGAACCCAGTCTGGCTCTAGCATGCACGCTCCTAACTGCTACACTATAGCCTTTCCAAAGTAGCAGGAGTGTTATGGGTTGAATTGTGTCACCTAAAAATAGGTGTTGTAAATCTTAACCCCTATACCTGTGGATATAATCCCATCTGGGAACAGAGTTTTCTTTGTTATATTAATTAGGCCATATCAGTGTAGGGTGCGTTTTAAACCTCATTGCTTTTGAGATATAAAAAGAGCAGATTAGGCACAAAGAAGCAAGCAAGCACCAAAGGGGAAAGATAGATGCCACAGGGAACTCACCAAGAAACTGAGGAACACCAAGAAGAATGATTGAGAAACTGAGACGAGGGTTTTCCCATAGAGCAGACAGAGAGAGAGAGACCCTTCCCCTAGAGCTGGTGCCCTGAATTTGGACTATTTTTGGCTGTTTTTCTTAGGTCTTTCATAAGAACTTCTGTTTCTGATCTTAACTTCATTTCAAACTATCTAAAATAAATTCTCCTTCTCTGTCCAAAATGAGATCCTGAACTGTGAGAAAATAAATTTCTGTTCTTTAAAACCACCCACTTGTGGTATTTGTCAAAGCAGCACTAAGAAACTAAGACAATGAGCAACACAGTTCCTGCATGAAACTGATAATCAAAAACAACAGGAAGTGCAAAAGTGATTTATATAAAATTAAACTGATTCATTGCTTGAACTGCAAGAGGGCCACATCCTAGATGGGTCATAAGTAAAAGGCACTCTGGCACTGGAAGACCCAGGACACAACTGAGGTAAACTCAAAGAGCAGCTCTTTACGTGGATCAAACATGGCAGAGACCAGAGAACTGTGGACTAGAGCCATCTCTTTCTCCTCCCTGGCACAAGGCTAGACAACACGTCCCAGCTTCCTGGCAGTTAGGTGTGGCCAAGTGACTGAGTTCTAGCCAATGTCATGTGAGCAGAAATGACACACGCCATGTCCAGGCTCATCTCATTAAAACTCCTCGTGAATAATACTCCGCGCACTTTCTCCTTCTGCTAGCAAACCAGGCAGAGTCACAAGATGGAAAGTGCCTGGGGCTCGGATGACTGCGTGAAGAAGCAGCACCCACGGATCTCTCATCATTGCTTTGGATTTCCGTGACTGAAAAATAAGCTTCCGCTCTGTATATAGTTGAGATTCAGGGCTTGATTTGTTACAGCAAATAATTACACATTCCAAAACCAAAAACCCATTGCGTCAAGTCGATTCTGACTCATAGTGACCCTACAGGACAGAGTAGAGCTGCCCCACGTGGTTTCCAAGGAGCACCTGGTGGATTCAAACTGCCAACTTTTTGGGTAGCAGCTATAGCTCTTAACCACTAGGCCACCAGGGTTTCTAATTACTCATTAACCTTAATTAAAATACCTCACATTTGATCTAGAAATAACCACCTCGTAAGATTCTTCTGTAGCTGGAAAATACCAGGACTCAGACCAGAAAACATTCTATAAAGCCCAGATACATGACCTGGGCCAGGCTTAGTAAAACACACTATATTTAATGGGTCCATGCAAATCCACACACCAGAGCAACCACGTCACGCACAAACCAAAACCATCCCAGCGGCTCTTACCTGCCAACGGAGAGGACAGTGACCTCTCCTTGGCGCCTTGGCCGGCCCTCCTTGGACTTGTTGGTGGGTCTGATGAAGTGCCACCTCTTGTGCCTACACCGATGACACACGTCCCTCTCCACAGCACCACCCACTGTGTGCAGATGGTGTCCACAGACGTGCTTCCCCGGTGTGCCCCCTGGTGACAAGGGCCCGGGACTCACAGGTGGGCTCCCAGGGGTGGAGGGGGTCACGGGGCTAGGGTGGAGCAGAAAAGGAAAATGCAGATGGTTACTTAAGGGAAATGCCAGCTGAGGCCACCCCTCTCCCTCAGTAATGTAAGAAGCAGGTTTAGATTAAACGAAAAAAGAAAAACCTCTTCCAATGATACAAAGAGGCCGGGGAACTAATCTCAGGTAGCAGGTAGTCAGCTCTCATGACCATGCAATGACCTTTCATTTCAGACAAACAAAAAAACAATTTATGTCTTCTAGAATGGAGTTAATTGGCTGAAAATAAACAACTGTTTCTAATGATGATATACCATGTGACTTCAGAGTATTGGGTTTCTTTCGAAATGACTGATCTCTTTTGTCATGCAATCACACTAATTTCTCACACATACCCAAGTGTTTGCCTGGACCTCTGAGCAGAGAGACCCCAAACATATGTGCCCTGCAGAAGAGAAAAACTTAAATCCCAACCAAACTACTCAATGCCTTAAAACAGACTATTTGATCTAATCTAGCTGTTGGGTCAAAGAAAGCAAGCTTTTAGCTCCGGATATCAAAAGTGATGGATGCTGATGGTAGTGGTCATAGTATTATTAGTAAAACAGCTAACACGTATTATTCTCAGCATTCTTACATATGTTAATTAATCCTTACAAAAGTCGATGAGGTATTATTAATGTCCTCATTTTAAAAATGAGGACATTGAGGCTCAGAGAAGTTAAGTAACTTGCCCAAGGTCACACAGCTAATAAGTGATGGATCTAGGATCCAAACGTAAAAAATCTAATTCTAGAAACCACCCTCCTCTTAAAGCATTATAATCTAGTGCTTCAGAAACAAGGGAAACCATTTTGATAACCTGGAAGATATCTGGCTAAAATATAAAATCATAGGTATATAGGCCAGGTGTTAGTTACTTGAAAAAGACACATACCAAGGCTCTGGCCTATAAGAACAGGAGGAATTAAAACAGGACAGGGTCAGACTGACCAGGAATCAGCCCTCTGATGCAGGTGGGGGTAGGTGGGGTGGCAGCTCTGAGCAGAGTCAGATACCTGAGACTACTGCAAGAGCCCCAAAGGCACCTGGCAGGCTCGTGATGGCAGAAGCCAGCCTTTTTGTCACTGAAAGCTGGCCCACCAGCACATTTAAGAAGGGTAGCCCACGGTTGGAAAGATAGTCTCAAACATCACAGACAGCCAGAACTTTCCTGGTGCTCTTTAGGGATGCTCTTTAAATTGTTAAAATAAAAACACAGGAGCAGGAGTAGCTTCCTACGGTAAAATGTTATATTAATACCACATATTAGAATGCTGAATTCAAGAGTTTAACAAATTTCATTCAGCAAATATTTATGAAGAGACACCTCGTACAAAACCCAATGGCAGGCACTACACGATGTCCAAAGAGGACAGCAACCAAGTGCTTAACCACTGGGCCACCAGGACTCCTTGAACAAAGATACCACAAGCTAATATGGTCCTAACACCGGGTGTCGGTGGTCAGCGCTGGAACACAGGACACATTACAGCTGGTATCTCCCTATGAACTACCCCACTTGAGCTTCCTAAGCTGATCCTCCTGTTGTTTCTTCCCTCTAATCCATCATCGCAGGTTACCTGAATCTAACAAGGTCAGTTTGACAAACGTGCACTATTTCTAAGATGTGCTGGGCACACGACCCACACAGTAAACAGAAAACGTTCCAAATGTCTTGGCTGGCACTCAGGCCCAATGTGCTTTCTGGCCTCATCTTGCTACTGTCCACAGGACACCCTCTGGCCACCCCAGACTGAACCATTCCCAGGCATGTCCCGCACTTTATGTTCCGCTGCCTTTTCCCAGGGACTATCTTCTGACTACAACCAGCCCCTGCCCCTTGTCTCCACCTGGTGCTTCCCTGATGTCCCACCAGCCCCATGGAGCTCCCAGAGCCTCTAGTCTTGACTTCCCCTACGACACCTTCACGCTCTCCACCACAAGGCCTCATCCACATGTCTCTGTTTCCCACTAGACTGAGTTCCTCGAAGGTAAAGATGTGAGGATGCCCAGCTCTAACACAGTACCCACCACCCAGCAGGCATTTGATAAATGCTCCTTGTTGAGAAATGACAAACACTATAGAAATGCAGGTATCTGTAATTAATTATGCAGGAATATGATACTGAACAAGTATACTCTAAAATTGGTAATGCACAAATAAAACTTAGTAGGTGCTCCTAAACCAACCTGATATTCACTTAATCATCATTGTTCATGAAGCTTTCCAGTGCCCAAGGTGTTTATGATAACCCAGTGAAGTCAGTACTATGGTTATTTTATAGATGATGAAACTTGAGCTCACAGTGGTCAGTTAACTGGCCCAAGGACAGGCAGTCAATAAGTGCTGAGGTAAGGCTCAACCAAAGTCTCCCAATTCCAACACTGTGCTCTTCACCACTAACACCTAACTTCTCCCATCACTCTTCTCTAACACAGTAGTTCTCAACCAGGGCTGACTTTGCCCCCACCCCCACCCTAGGGAACATTTGGGGATGAATGGAGACATTTTGGGTGATCAAAATTTGGGAGGATTGCTACTGGCATCTAGTAGGTGGAGGCCCAGGATGCTCTTAAACATCCTACAATGGACAGAAGAGCTGCAATCAAGGACTATCTGGCCAAAATGTCAATAGTGCTGAAATTGAAAAACCCTGCTCAGGCAGAGCAGCATTACTCACGTCACTATATTTGAGCAAATAAGTGAAAAAATGTTCCATTTTAAATGGGGGAGGGGCACTCACCTTTCAGGATCACCCATGCTGTTATCTGCTACCATTGCCTTTAAAACATCAGCATTTGCTAAGGAAAAAATAAAGAATTAAAATTGAATGAGTAAAATAAGTAATCACAGACTTAGAGCATCAGAAAGACAGAAAAACACCTAATTCAACTGCTTCACATCACAGATGAGGTCTTGGGGCCCTGCAGAAGGACCGGTCTTGCCCAAGGTAACCTCACAATATGGCACCATCTGTGAATGGAATTTACCACTCCGAATTGAGTAAGAGTGACAGAGACTCCATCCAAAGGAAAGCAGATCTACTGCACAGCTTTGCTTCTCCACACATCATTATCAATATAACTTAGAAGAATACATTTCTTTTCCCCTCTCAAATCAAAAGGGATGCTGTTTTGCATTTAGCTTATTCTGGTAAATGTTTGTCTCAAGAGATCTATATTCTAACTTGTATGCACCAAAACAATTAGCCCAAAATTATGGATACCCATGTACTGTCAAGTCTACTGCATATAAAATCAGGTGTGGGAAAGAGTTAATTTTGCAGGTGGGCCATTTGGCTTACCTCTCTGCTTCAGGATCATACAAGCCCCCACCCTGGCTAGACATCTTAAATTTTCAGTGTTGAAATAGTTCTCTAATAAGACTTGTCTCACATTAGACATTGGACATGTTATCAGGAGAGACCAGTCCCTGGAGAAGGACATCATGCTTGATAAAGTAGAGGGTCAGTGAAAAAGAGGAAGACCCTCAACAAGATGGACTGACACAGTGGCTGTAACAATGGGCTCAAGCATAACAATGATTATGAGGATGGCGCAGGACTGGGCAGTGTTTCGTTTTGTTGTATGCAGGGTCGCTATGAGTCGGAACTGACTCGACGGCACCTAAAAACAACCATATTAGACTTCCAATATTAATTTTTCAAAAAAAATCCAAACTTGTGGCGTGGGGGGCTAGACTGTTAACAAAAGCAAATTGAATTCAAGTTTCTTGGCGTCCCTCCTTCCCTACACCATATTCTTTTCACCCTCCCAAAGAGTGGTCAAAGGTCCCTGGGAGGCACAAACAGTTTGCACTTGTCTGCTAACCTAAAGGTTGGAGGTTCAAACCCACCCATGATGTCATGGAAGAAAAGTCCTGTAATCTGCTTCCATGAAGATTACAGCTAAGAAAACCCCATGGAGCAGATCTACTCTGTAACACATAGGGTCACCATAACTCAACGGCAACGGGTTTGGTTTAGAGTAGTCAAACTGGCAAGAATAAAAAACTTAAGTGGATGTTCAAATTTCTCCTGGATATTTAATTGGCAAGGCCAAATGTTATAATTGACTCCTAATCTTTTCCATTGATTTTTAAATGGACTCATGACTAATCACAGCAAATTCTCTAGAGGAAAGAATAAAAAATCACTATTTACCATGTCAGCCAACTACAACATTTAACATTTCACATCTCAAGTGACACCCCTGTAGGAAGAAAATTAATTCCCACACACTGGGTTGAACAGGGACCTGGACCTGCTCGAAGAGCTGTGTTATCACTAAAGTGTTGATACTGGTTTCTCAAGGTCTTATTGCCCCCCTAAGGGGACTTTTTCAACATTTTTTTCCCCCTAATCACCCTTCCATGAGATTATAATATTGCAGATAGTCTATATACCTGTTTAGTATTAGATGTATATCTGTGCTTTATATACAACTTTCTGGAGCCACAGAGGCTGGATGAACCCCTGGAGCTACTGCCCTGAGATAATCTTTAAACTTTAAACCAAAAATATCCTCCGAAGTCTTCTTAAAACCGAACAATAATTTAGCTTAACTAGTAAAGACTATCTGCCTTGAGCACGGTGCTCTTTGCCTTGAGCACGGTGCTCTTTCAAGAACTATCTACATGGGATCAAATTGATAACGGAAACTCAAAAGGCTAGATAGGAAACTTAGGGGGCAGTGAGTTTATGTTAATGGGGTGAGAACAATTCGGAAAAGGAGGGTGAAAATGATTGTACAACTTGAAGAATGTAATCAAATGCCACTGAGTTGTACATGTAGAAATTGTTGAACTGGTGTATATTCTGCCAAGTATACCTTGAACAACAAAAAAAATAAATAAATTATAAAAATTTAAAGAAAAAACAATGAGATTTATTTTATTCCTCAAGAATCAATGTCACCCCTTGGGGGGTATCACCTCCATCCCCTCCTTGAGAAGGCATGTTTTTTGTTTTTTTAATTTTTAGGGGGAAGGATTAAAATAGCATACCATCCTTTTCTAAAAGAAATACTTTCTTTGCCCTTCGCAACTATCTGTGATGATGTCCAAATGGATTGCAAAGAGTTTTGACCTGAATAAGATTCTTGTCCTTACAAAAAGAGTACTGAAATAAATTGGTAGTATCTTCTCCCATATAACAAAGAAGACAAATCACCCCCTGTAAGGCAGATTTAAGCATAATCTAGCAATATCAGTCACTTTCCCTTTTGACTAGTATTAAGGAAACTAGTATTAAGAAATACTTTTCTTTCAGATAATGGGCTAGGGGAATATACAATGTTTTTCCAATGTTCTCTTATACTGTGTCCTCACTTACCAAACTTCAAAACTATACACGTAACAAAGGTTAACAGTAACAACAACAAAAAGTATTAAAGTAGGGATAGCACTAGTAGCACATAGAGGAATTAGTGTTTTTAGAAATAAGTTTCAATAGTTACCTGAAAACATTAATCAGTTATAAAATGAGGACTTCCTTTAGAAATATCAAACTATAAAGTGATCCCAGGAAGATCAAAGAGTAAAATCATTACTACAACTTATTGTGTAGACTCCTGTTTCTCCTGTAACTCATCCTTATCTCCTAGAAATAAGTAACTAGTAAACAGCCCCTTGAAACCCTGGTGGTGTAGTGGTTAAGAGCTATATCTGCTAACCAAAAGGTCAGCAATTCGAATCCACCAGGCGCTCCTTGGAAACTCTATGGGGCGGTTATACTCTGTTCTATAGGGTCACTATGAGTTGGAATCAACTCGAGGGCAATGCATTTGGTTTTGGGTTTAAACAGCTTCTTTGTTTGCTGTGAATGAAGTCCTGAAGAAGAACCTCATATTTCTATACAAACATCATTTACACCTACCCTGTACAAGGAAGGTAAGTGTGTGGGACCAACACACACACACACACACACACACACACACACACACACACACACACACACACGCCACAAGCCAGTCTCTGGGCTAAAGCCCAGTCTACACCGGGGAGTAAACTTTAGTAATCTGCCCCTTGGGAACACTTTGCCTTCATGTGATGAGAGGCCTTTCTAACATAATACCATCATTAGGACTTATAAACACATGCTTTATTTTGGCTGTGAAATTACTATAAAAGAGCAATAATCTAATTATGCTCAATGGAACATATATTTCCTCCTTCCGTTTTACTCGTAATTCCAGTAAGCAACGAAAGCTGGTTTTCCCTACATTCGTCAACAACATTTCCTTTCCTTTCACAGGCTGCCAGAGAATTGGATGAGTCAGTTATAGGACAAGGAAAACTAGCTGAGAGCAAACTTTCTAGCCAAGCAGTTGCCCTTGAGTTGATTCTGACTCATGGCAGCCCCATGTGTGTCAGAGTAGAACTGTGATCTGTAGGGTTTTTCAAGGGCTGATTTTTCAGAAGTAGGTCACCAGGACTTTCTTCCAAGGTAGACAGTTGTTATTGTTGTGTGCCATCAAGTTGATTTTCAACTCATAGCAACTCCGCGTGACAAAGAAGAACTGTCCCATAGGGTTTTCTAGGCTGTATCTCTGAAGGAGAAGATCACCAGGTCTCTCTCCTGTGGAGCCGCTGGGTGGTTTCGAATCACCAACCTTTTGGTTAGCGACCAATCACTTAACTGTTGTACCATCAGGGCTCCTTACCAAAACAGACAGATTTTAAGGGCCTGGAAACTCAGCTATGGCATCGCAGATACTTTCCAAAGTCTCATACAATGCAATGACCATGCAAACACTATTCAATTCAGCCCTATTTAAAAAATCAAATTAAAAAGTAGCATTGTGGTTAATCCAAATCTTGGGATTAGGAGGAAAACAATCATTGTGTAGGTCAGCTGATTAATCCATTCTCCAAGAGATATTTGGCTAAATGAAATTTGATTATAACATTCAAGGCATGAAGTGTTTAAACCATAAATAAGAATGTCACCATAAGCACAGGTCAAATATTATTCCATCTGCCAAATTAAAAATGCACAGCAGAAAACCATTTATATGTCATGACTGCAAATGTTTAAAATATGTGAATACTGGCAAAGAAAACCTAAATAAAATGGGAAATGTTAATGGAAAGATTGTGTTTGTTTTTTTTTAATTTTTAAAGAAAAGTTATGGTGTGTTTGCAACTTTTAAAAAACTAGAATGTTAAATCAACATTAATTCTAATCAATCAGGAGATGGGAAATATCAACAGGGGGTCTAGTCTGATATTCGGCCCAGAGCTGTCTATGTTCATGACGGAAACAAAGATTAAAATGCATTTGTTCCATAAAGTAGAGGATTTCAGTCTCAAAGCCAAATTTAAAAATGCTAGGTAATAAAACTGGTAAGAGACTCCAGTGTGTATCTAATCACCCAGCTGTGGTGTTAGGAGTTCAAAAGTGCCATTTGGAGAAGGGATGCCCAGTGAGATCAGATGTCTCCTAGGTAGCCAAGGAGGAAAATCAAGGGTGACACAAAGGTACAGAGACACTTCCTGTCCTCACAGGTCACTGAAGAAATCACAGGTAGACAGGTGAAGGCAGGGGTAAGGGGAGAGGGGAAACGGTAAAGAATAAGACAGAAGGGAAAAGAGGAGAAAGGATGAAAACAGTGCCTCAGGTATCACACTGGGGCACCTACTGGTTGTCTATTAGATGAGGAGGAAATCAACACAGTGGAAACAAAAAGGCCTCTTTCTGAAAGGAAAATGACATCATTAAAGTAAGAAAAAAACAGCCCTGTTTGCCCATGAGTTGGGAGGTGAGGGAATTATACGGTATCACCCTTACAATGCGGCCTTTAGGGATAAAAGAAACGCTCAGAGGTAGGTTTGATATCAAACAAAATTGGTAACAGGGACCTGGACAAAAACATGCTGATAGTAAAAGAACCCAGCAGCTATCACCCTGATGGGTGCCTACTTCCTCCAAAAGAAGGTCGTTACCATCGAGTCGATTCTGACTCATAGCAACCCTGAAGGACAGAGTAGAACTGCCCCACAGGGTTTCCAAGGAGCGGCTGGTGGATTCCAAATGCCAGCCTTTTGGTTAGCAGTCAAGCTCCCCATACGCTTCATTGTGGCTGTGATTAAGAGAAGAGGCCCAATGCTAGCACCATCTTGCTATGCACTGGCTGTGTGACCTTGGGCAAGTTTCTTAACCTCTGGGCCTGTTTCCTCATCTGTAAAACTGGGATGGCAACAGGGTCTACCTTACAAAGTAGTGTTGAGAATTTAATGGATTAATGTTCAAGGAGTTCTATAAACTACTCCAGCGGTCTACTTTACCACCTTGAAAGGAGAAAGTTTAGCATCCCTCTTTCCTACCACCAGGAAAGAGGCAGTATAACCAGTGGTTAAGAGCACAGACTCTGGAGTCAGAATGCTTGAGTTCAAATCCTAGCTCTGCCACTTGCAGCTGTGAAACTGGTGAAGTTAGTTAAGTACTCTGGGCCTCAGTTTCTCAACTGCAACATGAGAATCAAGTATCCGACTCATAGGGTTGTTAATTCCTGTTAAGCCCTTGGAACAGGCCTGGCATATGGCAAACACTCAATGGGTGCTATAAAGTCTATACATAAGAATGTCAGCAAAGTTTTCACAACTGACTTATTTCAATCAATTCAGCTGTTCCCATCTCATCTGTAGTCACTAATTTTGCAGCTGTTTCAGCTCTCAGAAGCCTAGCTCCCAAAGCCATGGGAGGCAGTTTCAAATGTTAAAGGCACAGGAGCAGTGAAGGAACCTCTGTGCCTTCCTCTATGCAGGACTGCAGTGGCGGGACCTTCCATACTAAAAACATCTTTGAGGATCTTTTGCGCAAGTTAAAAAGCACTTTTTAGCATAAAGGAAGTTGCATCATTGGTTATTCAGGAATACAGTAGTCTCCCCTTATCCGCCGGAATATGTTCCAAGGCCTGCCACCCGTGGATGCCTGAGACTGCAGATAGTACCAACCACTATATATACTATGTTTTAACCTATACATACATACCTATGATAAAGGTTAATTTATAAATGAGACACAGTAAGAGATTAATAACAATAATAATAAAATAAAACAATTATAACAATATACTGTATACAAGTTATGTGAATGTGGTTCCCCAGGTGGGATGGAGCGAGAAGGTGTGAGATTTCATCACGCTACTCATCTAACATTTTCAGACCTTGGGTGACCACGGGTAACTGAAACCCCAGAAAGTGAAACCACAGATGGGGTGTGGGGGATGTGTGTGTGTGGGGGGTGCTACTGTAGTATCACCAAATACTGTGCCTTGAGAAAAGTATTTGGAAGACATAGATCAAAATCCAGGTGTTCTGGGTTTTTTTTAAACACCATTTTAGTAAGTTTGGGTAACTGGTTTTAGACTGTAGCAAATTAAGAGAGGAGAGGCAATGTTGTATGGTTGAAAGGGGATGCTGTGTGTAGAGCCAGAAGAGCCAGGCTGCTATACTAACCATGAAAACTTAGCCACTCAGAAACTTCATCTGTAAGATGGGTATAATGATACCAACTTTATAGGGATATTCTGAGGATTAAATGAGATTACACACATAAAGCATCTTGAATTATGCCAAATAAATAAAGCACATTCTATCAACAGCAATGAAAATTATGTCGAATCATATGGAGTCAAATACAGTTGAATAGACATACTGACAAACAAAAGGCTGAGCCAGACACAAGTTCTTGTTGAAAAGTGAGGATATGGGGGGAAAGGGGAGGACGGCACAGCAGGTATTTACTCATGTACTGAGCCATGGACAAATGGCTCAGCTGCCTCAGTGCCTACTGCATGAGTCAGCCCTGACTAGAGCAAAGCAGGCTTCGAACTGGTTCTGCTCAGTTCAGGCACCGCTGACAAAGTAAAACCCAAATGGCCCTGAATTTTTAAAATGTGGGTAAACCAGAACAATAAACAGAATGGGAAAAATTACAGGTCGAAGCCCTGCTAGAAACTTAATCTCCCTCTTAGAAAACAAGGGCAGCGTGCGCATTGCATGGCAAGCAAATCTCTTGATTGGCAGATTCATAAACAGTGCTGCCCTGCTCAAAGATGGTGGCCGACTGCACTGCTTTGAATGTGTATCACTCTCCACAGTCCCAGCAATAATCCTAATGCATTAGGCTCCTGAAAGGGCTCACTATGCCTCTTCCGAGTCTCCCATTCCAGGGCTTTGACCAGTAATTTTTCCCATTCCGGTTATAGTTGCATGTAACCCAAATTTTAAAAATTCAGATCTGCTCTGATTTCACTTCATCAGACATGACTGAATTGGCTTGAACCAGTTTGAAGCCCTGGAATAAAGACAGCCTGAGGAAAAAGTTATTTATTTTTGAAACTGTCCTGTGAACTTAAAACACAGGAATTTGTAGCTATCAAGTGTGTGCGTCCAACATATCTTAGCAGTTACTGAGGGCATGGTATCTTATCAAGATAGTAACAAGTGTTCAGAACAATGATGCTATTTTGATTTATCCAATCAAGATTAAATTAATCTTTGACTTAAAAAGTGGAGCATTAGAACACATTTGGGGAGGGGCACAATGCTTAAATCCATAAAAGATAAACTTTTGAAAAGTTTTAACACTTAAGAACAGTAACATTTGAGTGCTTATTATACAAAGCACTTTACATGCACTAAGTCACAACAATGCTATGAGGTAAATATTATTATCTGTCCCTGGGTGGTGCAAATAGTTAATACACTCAGCTGCTAACCGAAAAGTTTGAGGTTCAAGTCACCCAGCGGTACCTTGAAAGGAAGACCTGGTGATCTACTTTCAAAAAATCAGCCACTGAAAAAACCTCATGGAGCACATTCAACTCTGACATACATGGGGTCGCCATGAGTTGGAATCAATTCAAGGGCAACTGGTGGTAAACATTATTATTACCCTCATTTTACAGAGGAGGAAATGGAAGCTTTAAGAAATAAAGTCAGGAGGCTTGAAGAAGTAAAGTCAGGAGGCTTCAAGAAGTAGTCATGAAGCTTCATGACTTTCCCCAAATCACACACCACCAGTAAGCAGTGAGGCCAGGATTTGAACACTAGCCATCAGCTCCAGGGGTGGTGCTGCAACACACAGAACAACTGACACTTAGAAAACTCACTTATATGAAACCCTCATGGTCAGATAACGCTGCAAACTGAGGTATCAGTGAGCTTAGGTAAAAGGCACTGCCGATAACTTCAGAAAAATCGACAGGAGAGTATATACATATCCTGACTTTTCAAAGCAAGTTTTTAGTATAACATATGAATAGTGAATTGTTTGAGACACAAAAATGTTCATACCTTCATTTTTCATGATATAGTGGACAATCTGCCCAACTGTGTCACTATTTTCATTTATACTGTCATTCAATTCTGAAACAGAAAAAAGGGAAGACAGAACATGTTACCATTGGCCACCTGCATCAAGTCAATTAGACACTCAATCTTACAGTCTAAGATCTCACTGAACAGCCTCCAGGAAGCTCCAGGGATCAATCACGCTGCTAACAGTCTAGGCTTTCTTCCTTCAGGCCCAAATTGCTTAAAGCATAGTCTATAGCGACATCCTTAGCATAATAAGCATAAAAAGAAAGTACCAAGATTCTCCATTAATCTCAATCTAGAATATGCTTTTCTAAACACCTCCTCACTTGCCAAGACAACAATTTCATGCATTTATACCAGTTCTTACTACTGTTATTTCTGTCTCATCATTTCCTTAAATCAATTTGGCTTTTATTTTAATTGCAGGCTTACTATATGAGTTTAGAGTATTAATTTCTTTTTTTTTTAATTTTATTATTATTCATCCATGTTTAAAAGACTCTTCTGAGCTTTTAAATACACTTCCAAATTATCTTAATTTTGGCCATGACTGTCTGTCCACAAACTCAGTTTACTTTTGCGGGACTCTGAAAAACTGAAACCTCCACTCTGAAACCAATTGGTATTTGTTTCAATCAAACAAGGAGGAAGAGGGAGGTTTTAAACACCTCATCCTATTTCACAGAGAAGAAATCAAGGTGTGCAAGGTCCTACCCACTTACTTTGACAAGCATCTCCTCCATCCATTGGGTCAGCTTTCCCCCTATGTTAATATAAACGTTTGGTTTTGCAATGAGAAGCTGGCTGCTAAGTCAACCTACGGAGGGGCTGTGAAGGAGGCGAGGAGGAGTTTCTGCTTTCTGTTGACAAATACTCAAGCTTTGGTTTGCTCATAAGCTTACATATGACTCATCTCTGCCTCAAAGGTCAGTGGGGGTGGGAAAAACCAACAGCCAGGCAAGCTGGCAAGGAATGAGGAACCTCCCTCCACCCCATTCCCCAGGCTCACTGGAAGGGCAACCTACTCCAAATGTCACCTTTCTGCAAAAAGTGCCCTTTGAAAGGCTGAAATGGACAGGAAGAGTTATTTACTATCCCTCAAGACCCAAGTCAGGATGATCGCAAAGAATATCTGTGAAGAAAACAAGATTTCATCTCTTTGTTGTTGTTGCTGTTAGGTGCCGTCAAGTCGGTTCCAACTCATAGCGACCCTATGCACCACAGAACAAAACACTGCCTGGTCCTGTGCCATGCTCACAATTGTTGTTATGCTTGAGCCCATTGTTGCAGCCACCGTGTCAGTCCATCCACCAACTCCATGCTGAGAAGCAGAGGTGAGACACTCCATAGGTAATACTAAGGCAACAGTTCTTATATGTTTCTACTGCACTGTTCATAATCATTTATTTCATACACATAAATTCCAATCACATAGATTTAAGACAGAACTCCCCCAACAAAAGAAAGTACCACAAAAATGGTGATACCCCCTTAATCTTCCCACCATTCTTATTAGAATTGTATTCAAGAAAAACAGCAAGGATTAATGCTTACTAAGTACGAGTGTCAAGCACCAAGTGCATCTTCTCTCTAAATTACACAGTAACCCAAGGTGGAGAATATTATTCTCATTTAAAGTTTACATAAGAAAAAATAAGTTTACAGGAGACATAAATTGTCCAGGACACATGGCAAATCAGCATAAATTACTTGGTAGGTGCTTAATAAATGTGTGTTAAATAAATGAAAGTCCCTGGGCGGTACAAACAGCGAATGTGCTTGGTTGCTACCTGAAAGGTTGGGAAGCCAAGTCCACCCAGAGGTGCCTTGGAAGAAAGGCCTGGCGATCTACTCCAAAAAATTAGCTACTGAGAACTCTGACACATGGGGTCACTATGTGTCAGAATCAACTCAACAGCAACTGTTTTTTTAAATAAACCAAAGCAAAAATTCAAACTCTGAGTGTGATTACTATAAGGTCTACACCACCTGCTGTTAAAATTGACCATTTTGCCCCATAAAGATGGAAAACACATATGACTGGTTTCTTATTTAAAAATCCTCCCCACCCAGCTCCCTATAAAAAGAATCCAGGTTATTTACCTATCTTTTCAATCTTTTCCTCTTCGACCTCTTGTTCGGCTTCTGTTGTACAACGATACCCTTTCTTCTTAAGCAGGTGGCAGATGAGGACACCAAAGAGACCCATGATAAAGAACACAGGGACAAGCACATACGCGATATATTCTGGGTGCCCGTTCTCAGCATTGCTGGCGGGCGATGGTGTCATCTCTGTCCTGGAGTGCAAGGTGTGGCTGCCACCATTGTCTACAGAAGAAAACGTGCAAGCTGCGTTAGATGCCACTTGGTGGCAAGAAAAACCTGACACCTTCAGGAAATTTTCACATTGCGATGGATTGAATTATGTCCCTCCAAAATGTGTGTCAACTTGGCTAGGCCATGATTCCCAGTATTGTGTGGTTTCTACCATTTTGTGATCTGATGTAATTTTCCTATGTGTTATAAATCCTAACCTCTATGATATTAATGAGGCAGGATTAGAGGCAGTTAGGTTTATGAGGCTGGATTCAATCTTTAGGATTAAGTTGTATCTTGAGTCAATCTCTTTTGAGATATAAAAGAGAGAGTTGAGCAGAGAGGAGAGGGACCTCATGTCATCAAGAATGAAGAACCACAAGGGGAGGGTGTCTTTTGGACCCGGGGTTCCTGTGCTGAGAAGCTCCTAGACCAGGGGAAGACTGATGACAAGGACCTTCCCCCAGAGCTGAAAGAGAGAGAAAGCCTACACCTGGCATTAAAAAAAAAAAACTAAACCCGTTGCCATCAGGTCGATTCCGACTCACAGCGACCCTATAGGACAGAGTAGAACTGCTCCATAGGGTTTCCAAGGAGCCCCTGGTGGATTTGAACTGCCGACCTTTTGGTTAGCAGCTGTAGCTCTTAACCACTTCACCACCAAGGTTTCCATCCTGAATTCAGACTTCTAATCTCCTAGGCTGTAAGAGAATAAATTTCTGTTTATTAAAGCTATCCACTTGTGTATTTCTGTTATAGCAGCATGACATAACTAAGACACTCATTAAATCAAAGCCTGCTCCCGAAGCCATGAGCCAAGAATGACGGCTCTGACCGCACATGGCACCAAAGGTGAGAGCCCAGGCTTGGGGTAAAACATCTGAGTTCACATCCTGTCCCTGCTACTCATCAGTTGGGTTCCATCTTGAGTAATTTTTTTTTTTTAAAACCTCTTCAAGTCAGCCTCCGTTTCTTCAGTAAAAGTACCTACTCGGTGTGGATGGAGGTACAGAGTTTTGGTGGCATGTCCAGCACAGAGCAAACACATAAACAGTAGGTACTGTGAGACTGCACTGTTTAGTGATTAAAAGCACAGTCTCCAGAGCCATGGGTTTGATTCCTGGCATCACCACTTAGCAGCTATGTGACACTGGACAAGGACTTAACATCTAGGAGCCTCTGTCTCCTGTGAAATGAGCATAATAATAAAGAGCCCTGGTGGTGCAGTAGTTAAGCACTTGGCTGCTAACCAAAAGGTCAGGAGGTTCGAACTCACCAGCTGCTCCATGAGAGAAAGATGTGACAGTCTGCTTCTGTAAAGATTACAGCTTTGGAAACCCTATGGGGCAGTTCTGCTCTGTCCTACAGGGTCCCTATGAGTCAGAATCAACTAGATGGCAACAGGTGGTTTTTTGGTTTTTGTTTTTTTAACTCAACCCTATAGGGCTGTTATGGACATGAAATAAATTAACAATGTAAAACATTTAAAATCATTTCTACAACACAGTAAATACTCAATAAACTTACATAC